ATATATATATATATAACTAAATAATATCATTCAACTGTTCTAACACATTACATTAACTTTAATTTACTATTAATTCACTCACATAATTTTAACTACCTATCATTTTTCAATCATATATTTTCTGTTTTTACATCAAATCGATCTTAATTATTTTATTTTAAATATTATTTTAATAAATTTTTAAATTTCCACTAACAACTGATCATATTAACTTTTTTCAATTAAACTCTAATTAACACACAAAAAAAAAGAATTTCTAGTTTTTTATAAACAAGTACGACCTAACTTGCCTTGACTAAATCCATAGCATTGGCAATATCTTGACCATCCCTTTATAATTTTATTAACAACTCATTCGTAATGTCTAAAATTTGTCTCATCACAAGAAAGACAAAATATGAAATCAAAATATTGTATCTGCACAAGCAACAATTTACTGTGTTCTCTTTGATCAGCAATAGCCTCATCCTCAATTATGATTTCAATAAATTTAATTATAGAAGAAAACATAGAGATAATGTTCGACTTCGTTTTATATAGACTATTAAAAAAACTTAAAATTGTTTTTATTATGTCTCGCGAGTTTTCCAACTTTGCCTTTTCTTCCTAAATATTTATCTGGAAATTATAACTTTTATGCATGAAAAATATAATTAATTTTTATACATTCAATGACTATTATTCATTAACTACAAATTGGCTTAAATAGAAATTTTAACCGGTAGATTTATTAAAAATGTATTTAATAAGATCTTATATTAATTTATTGACACATTCATTCAAAAAATTATTATAGAAATTGATCTGATTAAATATATTATCACCTATAGTTGTAGGTATTAATTTAATTAATTATATTCACTATTCAAAAGTACTCAAAATATTTAATAAAATAATATAATAACTATGTTTAAATGATAATAACTTAATAAATGATTTAAAACATTAATAAATTTTTTTAAAAAGGTACATCCCCGTTGAATATATCATATGCATTGATAATACTATTGAAAATTTAAGTAATATACTCATAAAAATAAAATTAGATGGTCGGGTGCAATTCAGAATTATAAATTTCTCCTTAGATGTATCTATGTATGTTAAAAAACTATTCAATTTGTTAAGATATATTTTTTTTTATATATTATTTTATAAATGGAGAATAAGTTAATAATAAAGCAATGCATAAAAATGTATATTATAGCACTTGGTATTTATGGAAATATATAATATATCAAATATTTGAATAGATAGTTGATGGGTTTCTTCTCAGATTTGGAACGAACCAATGAGAAATCGTCCAGATCTGGGATGAATCGGTGTGAATGAACTCAGATCTGACTTGATGGCCTTCGAACCGTTGTTGAACCGCAAGAACACTTGCAAGAACTCAACGCCGGAGGGGTTNNNGGCGTAGAGCCTCCGACGCTCAAATCAATATGTGGAAGAGATGATGAGAGCCACTCTCAGAGAGCATCAGCAATAATGGAGAAGAATGTGGAATGAATGAAAATTAGGGTTTTGGAGTTACCTCAGCTCCTTTATATAGAAATGAAACATTTACCTGAAGTCCCCAAAATGCCCCGGCCGACTTACTGGAAATGTCCAAACTACCCTGGTCGGTTCGCATTCCGTCCATTTCCTAGTCAGCTTCTAGATCCTTCCTTATCCTTAGCTTCCCTTCGATATGCTGAAATGTATTAGAGCTGTCGAGATTTATGGGCTTCCAGACCTCTTCAGTCGACTTGATCCAATCGACTCGAGTTGACTGGGTCATACTCAACCGCTAGTGGATCCTGATATGCTTTTGCCCGTCGCCTCGCAGGAAATCGACTTATACTAGTCGACATACAGGAGTCGACCGGAGGGTATTTGGACCCCTAATTGGAGATATTATAGGGAATATGACGAGAGAGTCGGCTTTGGTTAAGTCGACTCAGTAATTCTGGAACCCTTGATAGTGTAAATCGTTATATGATAATATGGTTATATCATCTAGTCCCCCCAAAGATTACTCGAAGCGATTCTGAGCTTAAGAGTAAGTTTTGACGACTGAAAGTCTCATTCGAGTCTTTTCTCATATTCTGTCACCTGTCGTCGCTCCTCGTTGTACCTGCTTGCTTTTTCGACTTGTAAGGTGGCATTTATTTAATTAGTATTTCGAATCAGGTGGATAGGTATAAGTCTTCAAATTTCAAATTCAAAAGATAAGACATTATCTTTCCACCGCTTCGTATTCTGTGCCGCGTCTCAGCCGTTGGATACGAGTTTAATCTGAGGGTTAGGGTTTCTCTGCTTTCCCTATAAGTATCTCTTCCCTTTCCTTATCTTCACTTTTCCCACTTAAGGTTCTTCAAACCCTCTGTTCCTCCGGCAAACACAACATCTCAAGCTTTCGGCCACTCCGTTCATTTTCTGACGCTCTTCTCGGATTTTCAAGGACTTCCTTGCCAACTACCATGAGCATGAGTGAGTTTTTTTATTCTTTTTGATTTATTAATGTGTTCAAAATAAAAACTTTTTTGTTTTTCTGGGTAATATGCTTGGGGCCTGTATGTTCATCAGATTTTCTGGGAATTTTTGGAGGTTTCTAGCGGTTTTCCCTTGTTAGATCTTTAGTTGTAGATCTCTTATTCCTATTAAGTGTTTTCGCTTACTAGTCGTCTTGTTCTGAGGGATTAACCCTTTTCTTTTTCTGACTTGGCCTTCATTTGTCAAGTCAAGTCGGTACGGGGAACATTTTCCTTGTTTCTTCTCTCCTTCTTCCCGTTGTCGAGACGCTTCTCGTGCCATCCTGGTTATTTTGTTGACCCTTTCCTCTTTGAATCGAATCACGGTCACATTTTCTAATAACTTTTCTTGATTGTCGTTCTTTTCTTTTTCTTTTTAGATTCCAATCTCGACCCTGTTTCTGATCCCGTCTCCAGTTCTCTTTCCCGTGAAATCGATGACTATTCAGGTTCGGACTCTGTTTACCCAAACGATGTCGGACCATGTTTTCTTCAAAACGTCGAGCCAGAGGGCTCTGTCAATTCCAATGCCTCACCTTTCGGTATCGATTGGGCTGTGTACAATCAGGTGTACAATCAGGCGTTGCTCTCGGGTATACTTTGTGAGGATCCTAAAGTTCTCCAACTCCTTGAATCTTCTTACCCCGACTTGACTCCTCGAGGTATTTTTCGCTAGGTTCTTCTAGACATCCTCATATATGCGGCCAGCCTTGTTCCTTTACTGATAATGACTCCTTTAGTCGAGTCTATAACTGCAGCGTGTTCTGTGGCAAAGTTCTTAATATCTTTTTCTTATGCTCCTGCAGCCGAAATCGATGGCTTAAGAGAGTACAGTGGCCTTCCCTCCGATTGGGCTTTGGTCGCTCCCAAACCTGAAGACGACTTTCGTCACCCTCCTAAAGGCTGTTTTACTTTTTTCGTGGATCAAATAATGTCGGGCTTGCGCTTCCCGATTCAACCTGAGTTGTTATCGATAAGTAACCTCTTTGATATACCAATAAACCAGTTCACCCCTAACTCTATTCGAATAATGGTGGCCTTTA